CTCTCTCTCTCTCTCTCTCTCTCTCCATCTGCTCTTTGATTGATTGTAAATCACTAAACAATAAGTATTTATTGAATGATTTTTAGATTGAATGCAATCCATATATAACTCAAGAAAAGTTAGTGGACTTTTGTAGGACAAGAGGCATAGAAGTGGTGGCTTACAGTCCAATAGGTCGGGGCGATAGTGAGCTACTGAATGAGCCGACACTCGTTGAAATGGCCAACAAGTATAATAAAAGTGTGGCTCAAGTGATAATGCGATGGCATATACAGAGGAATATCACTGTTATTCCTAAGACTACTCGCAAAGAGAGACTCATTGAAAACAAGTGTTTATTTGATTTCAAACTAACAAAACAAGAGATGAGAAAAATAATGAAATTAAATAAGAATAAGAGAATTATAACACTGTCTGAAGCGGTCAACAATCGTGAGTATCCCTTCTTAATTGATTTTTAACATTATATTTAATATTGAAAGTATTCAATGATTAAGAGCTTGTAATTTATATAATATGTAAATTAATATTAAAATTATTTTGTTTAAAGCTTGAATAGCATTTTCAAAAATAATAAAGTCAATATTATGATACAAAATGATATTGCTTAACTTTGTATGATTTTAAAATAATTTTGCAAAATTTATTAAAAAAGTTGTGCAAAATTTGTAAATATACAGTATATTGAGATTAATTTTGATTATTGTATTTAACTCAAAGTGAATGCACGGGAAATGGAATAAAGTATTTAACGATTAAATATTTTTTATATACAGAAAGAGTAAATTTTTTCCAAACTTTTCCAAAATGAATATATGATAAAAATGATGAACACATCCTCTCAATGGCCTAATATTGATAGTCATTAGAGTATAATTATATTAAACTTTCAATCTTTTCCTTATATTTGAAACTTATTTGAGCTCAAATATCAATGCATTCAATAATTAATAAATAATAATCAGTTTTCCTATTGATTAGCCTTCGGTTAAAAGGTTTGAAAAATGAAAAATAATTTTAAAAAATGTTAAATAAATTTTTCATAAAAATATATTTAATTGTCCTTCAAATCGGTTGTGTATTATTTAACTCAATATATTTAAGTGAAAAATAATTATTAATTTTTGATAAATTATAATAAATAAATGAATTATAAATTGAGACAAACACGAGAAAAGAGGCAGAAAAAAGTGCATGAGTTTTGTCGGGGCATTGGTTTTGCTGCAGATATTGAAAACAACCTTCACCTCAATTGCACACAACTATTACTTATAAATCGATGCGATTTTGTGTTTCGTAAATTCAAGTGATATTTTTTCATAAGAAAATTATTTGTTGTTTGGTTTTAATTACAAACTTATTATAAAATTATAAAAAAATCGTATTAAATAATCATGTTTGCGTTTATTTTAACAACGTTTGTTTTTCATCTGGTCTATAGTTACGCGGGTAAGTTTAGTTTTTGGATTGCAATAATTGTCCATGTTTGGTTTTAAAAATAAACTTTTTATATTATGTAATATAAACTAAAGCTAAATAAATGTTTAATTTTTTAAAATTAACATAACGTTATGACCAAAAGCGATGACACCATCGGTTGAATTCGTGAACGGAATGTCGATTCCGATCATTGGTTTAGGAACTTATGATATGACTGACGATCAGTCGGTTATGAGTCGTGTGCTGACCGATGCCATAGATGTCGGTTATAGACATATAGACACCGCTTATATCTATCAAAACGAAGAGATTATCGGCAGATCTTTGACACAAATGTTTGCAAACAATACGACCAAAAGGAAAGACCTGTTCATCACGAGTAAAGTGTGGAGTACTTTCCACAAGCGGTCAGCAGTGGTCGAGGCGTTAAAGCTATCACTCAATAATCTGGGTCTCGACTATTTAGATCTGGCATTAATTCATTGGCCGATTGCACTCAAGTCGGGCACCGGATATCTCTGGCCATTAGATGAAAACAATATGACTTTAGACGAAAACATAAGTGTTGTCGAGACGTGGAAAGGCATGGAAGACGCCTATCGACTCGGTTTGGCTAAAAGTATTGGCGTTTCTAACTTTAATTCAGAGCAATTGTCTCGTGTATTAAAGCATTCATTTATTAAACCGGTTGTCAATCAGGTATTGATCTTAATATTACTCTAAAAATTAAAGTAAACATTATTTTTTGAAAATTTCTAAATTTTACTGTAACTTGATTTCCAGTTTGAAACACATCCCTATCTATCGCAAGAAAAATTAGTTCAATTCTGTCATAACAATAGCATTCAAGTTATCGCTTACTGTCCCATAGGAAAGGCAGACAAGGGTTTACTTAATGAACCGATTCTGACAACTATTGCGGCCAAGAATAACAAGACTGTCCCACAAGTGATGCTCCGTTGGCTCATTCAGAGAGACATTATTGTTATACCGAAAACATCGAAAAGACAGCGACTGATGGAAAATATTAATATTTTTGATTTCCAATTGACTGACGAAGAGATGACCGAAATATTTAAACTTAATAAAAACCAAAGATTTATTAATCCAACGGAAGCCGTGAATAATAGAGAATATCCTTTTCATATTCCTTATTAATAAATAAATATATATTTTGTAAAATAAAATTAATTGAAAATTAAAATAAATGTTTGCTATTTGTATCAGATTAATCTGTATTAACTTATATTTTAATTAAAATATAAGTTTTATAGTTTAAATAAGTTAAATTTTATGTCTTTAAAAATTTTTGAAATACAAATTACAAATCTTTTTATATGTTTGAATAAAAATATTTTTAATGCATTTATTAAAGTAACAAGAATTTAGTGAAATCTGTGTCAAAGCAAAAGATTTTAATTTTTAAATGCCAAATGAAATTTGATTTTTTAGAAATAAATTTTTTGCATAAAACTTTCCATGAATTTAATTTATTTTATACAAAATATAAAATATCAAAATTAAGTTTTTATTGTATTAATGAATCTCTTTACAATTTCTATTACAAAGCAATAGTAATTGTCGTATTTGTGAATAGTATATAATTTATAATAAAATGTAATGATTCTATGTAAATAACATTAATGCATTTAAATCCTGGATTCATTGGACTGTCATTTCTTTATTTAGACATACATTAGATTCATATCAACAATATATTGCATATATAATACCAGACAGCCTTCAAAACCAATCAAACGAGTTATTTATAATTCAACAAATTATTTGATGAATACTGAAAGTCCGGGAATATTTCAAAATATTATTACAGAGTATTCTGGGTTTCGGTTTCACTTATATCAAGTGATTTGATAAAAACTCATTCAAAGATTAGCTTAAAATTTGAAATTAAAGTTATATTAAAATGTGGACAAACGCTCTGATCTTGGTGTTAGCACTATGTCAAACAAATGCCGGTCAGTTTTGTTTTGAATTGTTTATTTTCAATATCTATTAAAGTTTTTAATTCAAAATGGTATTTGTAAAATTGTATACTTGATAATTTCCAAAAGCAGTACAAATCCCATCAGTAAATCTGGTGGACGGCCACAAAATTCCGACCATAGGTTTGGGTACATATGATCTGACAAATCAACAGGAAGTGATGGACCGGATTCTGAACGACGCCTATGATCTCGGCTACAGACATATCGACACCGCATATGTCTACCAGAATGAAGAGCTCATCGGTAGAAGTTTGGCCAAAATGTTCGCCGCGAATAAGACTAGAAGAGAGGATCTGTTTATCACAAGCAAAGTGTGGAATGTGTTTCATAAGCGATCGCAAGTCGTTGAGGCCATGAAGTTATCGTTGAATATGTTAGGCGTCGACTACTTGGACCTGTCGTTAGTCCACTGGCCGCTGGCCTTCAGAAGCGGAACCGGATTTTTGCGGCCTTTGGATGAGAAAGAGAGAGAGAGAGAGAGAGAGAGAGAGAGAGAGCATTTACCTGATTTACAACAGGTTTGATATGAGTATCTCTTAAGACACGAGTTAATTGTTCTGAGTTGAAATTAGAGACCCCGATGCTTTTAACTAATCCCAATTTGTACGCGTCCTCCATTCCCCTCCACGTCTCGACAACACTTATGTCCAAATCAGCTGAGGATCCGTTCGCCTGTTTTGGGTGATTTTCATCGCCCTCTTTGTAAGCCATCGGCCAATGAACTAATGCTAAATCCAAATAATCTAAACCAAGATTATTGATCGACGCTCTCATGCCTTCGACCACTTTTTTTCTTCGGTGGTAAGTATTCCACACTTTACTCGTTATGAAAATATCGGATCGTTTTATCTTATTTTTGGCGAATAGTTTTTGTAATGAATTTCCAATCAAACGCTCGTTATTGTACTCAAACGCCGTGTCTATGTGTCTGTAGCCGACATCGACCGCATCTTCCATCACCCGATCCATCACTTTCTGGTCCCGTATATTATAAGTACCCAAACCTATGATTGGTATTCTCATGCCATCCTTCAGTCTTATTGGCGGAACTCTTTCTCCTAGTGTTTATTTGAAACAATATTTATCATTTATTTGTATTATACATATTATTATAAATTATAATTTAATCAATTAATAATACTAGATGACATACCTGAGCACTTGTTATTCTGGGCATTACTCGGTGACCAGAATAGTAATAATATGGTTAATGTTATCAATTGAAACATTTCAGCATCAAATATGAGCCTAATATATAGAATAATTGCTTTTTATAGCAAAATATAGTGCACTTAAGTGATAATTATAGTAAACATTTATAATTAAGTAATTACTATTCATAGGAAGGGAGCACTAATGGACTGGAGTTGAAGGTTAAAACATTGGATTAAATAGTTTTGTTTTGTTATTATTTTAAATATTACTAAATTTGATCATTAATTGTAGATTTAACTCATTCTGTTTGCTCAATCTGTTGTAATTTTATATAATACTTGACATATTAAATAATTGTCATTTTGTTTTAT